GCAATTGCAACTGATACCCATGCAGAGAGCAGCATCGATACTCTGGTTGCTGTCGCTTCTAGCTACCCCCTCTGCGGTTTGGCTAGCAGAGAGAGGTATGAGGATTACCCTGGAATGCAGGAGGTGCCACTGACCCTTCGAATCCACATTACACTTATGACTCTCCTGCCCCCTTTCCAGGAGAATTTGGTCATGGTGGCTTACTCACAGGGCCCGCATTAGCGGCCCAGCGTTCCCATGGGATGACCGCTGGATCTTGTTTGGCGGAGTTCCAGACGGATTTGCATTGGACAAGGGCTGGGGCTACGTAGCCCAGGCCATCAGAGCTTGCCTCTTCGCGGCCATCTGGGAGGTAAGAAACATGTGCGTTTTTGAAGGAAGATTTCTGTCGGACCAGTCAATCAAGGCAACAGTCAAGCTACACATCAAAAGAAGTATCAAAGCAGACTGGCGACGGAAGGTGGCCATGAACGCTCAGAAAAGCGCAGAACTGGCTTGGTTTTTAGGAACCTGGGCTCTCTTGGGCAAGTTGGCCAGAGTTCATAATGGTAAACTTGATTTGGATGATTGGTTGGTTAGTGTAGAGTAATACCTGGGCGCTCGGTATTCCTCCGCAGTAGGAGGGCGGCAGAATGTGGCAGGTGGGGTAGGAGGGAGTGCCATTGTAAGGCTCAGGAGCTGGACTATGCAACCAGGATTTTAATCTTGCTATTTTACCCCTCCTTGATGTGTCGCACATTCCCCTGATGTTCCAGGAGACGGCGTTTAGCTTATCCATTCATCTTACCGGTTGGTGCCCTTGATTGGATGGGGTGGTTTGAATGGGTTCGAGTACCAGTGTTGGGTGGTGGCCGGTTCCCAGATCTGGACGCGGGTGCAGAAGTAGCAGCCGAGGTCCATTTCTGGGAAAGGAGGTTCTTCAAAAACAGAGATTGCAATGTTTTGTTGCAAGGCAACTTGCTGTTCAGTTTTCCCAGAAAGGATGCATAAGATATGTTCTGAACCAAAAAGTGTTGTAGAGATTCCGAATCTTCTTTCACGAACAAAGAGATCGGAATTAGTCTCATGCCCTCCATAAGGAGGGCGTCCATCTTGTCTGGTGCGATAAACACATCCATCAGGGGAACAAAAATCTTACAAGTACAGTGTGTCAGATCCTGGTAGAAGTGGGGGAGAGCCATAACTGAGACCATCCTCAGGGGGAAGCGATCCCCGAAGAGGAGTCTCGTTGCTTCTAGAATGCTTAGTACCGTGACCGGTTCCTCAGTCCTAGCGGTCAGGAAGTTCGTCGTTGAATTGTTCTGTTGCCACGTGATGACCTGGATCATCTCATTCACGAGAGTGCACACCAGGGGCAATAGCCATTTCTCCATTGTTGTGGATTGACTTTTCGAGGCTGTGATCGCTCTTCTGCTCCTTGAAGTTTTGATTCCTGCTTGTGGGAGCTTGGTAGATGATCTGACAGATTTGATCGAGTCTGATTTGCTGGATACTGATGTTTTGGATGCCTCCCTAGCTGGGAGGCTAGCTGCAGGAGCTGCTTCTAACATTAGCAATTGAGCTGGGGAGGAATCCGATCTGATTGTTCTTGGTGCTTTCAGGGGAGATTGCCCGAGGGTGCTGCGCCCTTGCACCTCAACTGCCGAAGTTGCGACCCCAGTAGAGGGGGGAAACACAGGCACAACATGCGTTGCAGGGCTGGGTTTCCGTGGGATCGGCCTGATTGGTCTGATAGCTACCGGGGCGTCTATGCCCGGGGGGGTGGTTCCTCTTCCTCTGTTCCTGCGAACCTTTCCCAGTGAGTCGTTCCTTGTGCTAATCTGTGATGAGGTGGGACGAATTCACTTGGCATCCACGGTTGAAGGCTCATTTCCCTTAATCCCTGCTGGAAGTACAGATAAGGTCTGTGAGCAGGGTCTGGTGAGAATATTGGGTTAATCCTCTCTGTTTGTGCGTAGTTCCCTGCAGGCGAACCATCCAATAAACGAGCATCCCGCGGGGGGGACCGGACCGGAGAGGGACTTCTGGACCTCGACATTGATTTCCGGGAACTACTGTGTGAGAGCGGACCTTTATATTTCGGGTCTCGCCTTTGATTGGCCGTTTTCAACCTCGCCTCGGAGTGTGCAGTGGATGTGGAAGATGAAGAGGCCAAGGATGACCTATCATCCTCGTCCTCATCTGTGCGAGATGTCCTGTCCCCTCTGAATTTGCTGCGTCTTCTGTTCTAGTTGGTTTTCGAGCGAGTGCGGTCATCATCTGAGTGAAAGTACCATTTGCATTTTGTGAAGTAGGGGGTAGATGCTGAGGCGAGTCTCACCTTTACCATGTCCCCCTGTTTGGTTCTCACCCACATTCGTTCCATGAATTTCGAGCGGCACGTTGGGTCCAGTTCACAGCGAATGTTTAGGAGCCGTGGGTTCGAGTTGAACCTATCTGGTTCATCCATCTTAAGCACGTGATCGATGACACGCGCTAATGAAGAGCGTAGATAGAAATATGCATCCAGAGGGACTTGCACAAACACAACCCAAAACTTGTTTTCTAGTTCGATCCTCTTAAATTCCTTCCATTCGGCCCTTGGCATCCAGGTTTCGTTTCGAATACGTATCTCCTTCCCTTCAATTTGACTTCCCCTGCTCCTTCGTTTACCATCCATTCTGCAACTACACTGTCCCTGGCTACATAAGATAGCACATTGGGACCTTCAAATGTGATTCTACCTCTCCCCGCTGGTGGGTCGAAGATGCCATCCTTCTGCCAACCGTTTTCGTACGCCCTGACAATGTCCTCCTTCACCCTTCTCGGGAGGTTTCTAGCTTCGTCCCGGAAAATAACTACCACTGTGCGTTCCTTCAACCATTGAATTTTGATATCATCAAAGCGGGGATATGCGGTTACTACGGCCTCATCACCTTCAATTGTGACATCCTCAAAGGGGATGTCTTCCGGATTAATGCCATCATCGTAGCATAGGGAGCAAAGCAATCGAGCCCTTTCCTCGAAGGACCCATCCTGCTCGTTGGGGGGAGACTCTTCCCCTCCTTCAGCCATTATGAGTTCGACCCCTTCCGGATCCGCCATTTGAGTGCTATAGTATTTGCGAGGGAAAGTGAGTTAGATGAGGCCGATACCGAATTCAATTTGCCGTGGTTACCGCACGAAGGCGAAAGAAGCAGGCGCGCACTAATACGAAATACTCGACTGTCCGGAGGGGTGTAGCAGCGAGAGTTCTACTGCTTCTCCGCGTACTCCTATCGCGGCGCAGTTCCTGACTAACCGAGGTGGACAGAGATCATCGCCTTTGAAGCTCCAGGGAGTAGAAAAACCTGTTGTGTGTGAAGGAAGCAAATCCTCACAATCGGGGCATAACTGTGCTTTGTGCTAATAAAACTTCTGAATCAGGAGACATCTAACCGCAATACCTTCATTCCATCGAAAAGTCTTGCATATCTTACTTTCCATTCACCATACCTAACTTAATCCGGGAGTACAGTACAATCCTGCGGCCGAACACGCTAGGGTAAGACTAGATGAGTATAAGGAGATGTCCCCGTAAAGCATCCGGACGGTACTCGCCAATAGTTGTACAGTGCCAGACCGAGTGCGCCTGTACTCAGTTCTACGCAAGGGTCTGGGAAACATACACTGGGGGAAAAAGGACGGAGGGGTAACTTTTTATAACTGCGGTGAAACCGTGGAAGCCGCCCGCGAACTACCTCATGGTGAACATGATTCCTTCCTCAAGTACGCAAAGCCTAAAGGAGGATAACAGTGAGGTGTAGTTGCATTACCCCATGTCTTGATCCGCGAGTGGATTGCACACGAAGCTCTGCCTGTCGATCCTTTCTTCGTCCCGAACCTCGGGGGCGTGAAGAAACGGTCATCATGTTACAATGGTCGATAGCTGGACATTCTGCGACATCGCATTGGGGCGGGGTAACACTTCGTCCGGTGGATAGGGGCAGGCTAGGAAGTTTGAGAAAGCTAAAAAAAAACCGCCGCCATAGTTGAAGCCATGGCTGCCGCATTCACCGCGGTAAACCGCGTCGTGGTGGCGCGGTAACCGCTTGACGGCCGGTTGGCTCGCGACACTGAGCACAAACCGGCGGCGCTAGGCTCCGAGCGCTCTACCGGCGCCGTGAGCGTGCGCTCCCCCTCTCTCTCTCTCGATAACTCTGCTATTCGAGAAAAGTGGACCCGCACCTTTTCAATTTCGAAAATTTCGAAAAAGGACTGTGGCCTCCTCGGCCTCCTACGCGCAGCTACCGGTCCTATGCGGTCCTGGACCAGAACCCGTGCGGTCCCACGGCAGCTACCGGTCCTGCAGTTTCAAATAAGATGGCACCACCCCCTAAACTGCCATGCCTTGTTTTTCCAGCCTTCCAACGACCTCCGGGGGGAAAACGCACCCCTGACGGGCTGCGAACACTATACCGCAGCCTAAGGGCTGCGAACACGAGGCCTACCGGTAGCTAACCACTTGACCGGTCCTTGTTCCCTCAATGTCCCCTCGGGAGCATGAGGTTCGCATCTTTTCCTCCCACCAAACCTCACTTTCGTATGCACATTTGTCCGGTTAGGTTGTGAACTCGCCACGGGTCCCCTCAACAGTCACATGGGCTTACCATTCAGCGCCTGGGCTGGGTTAGGTGAGAAAAGCGGGTGAAAAGACGTCAAACCAGAGAATCAGGCGGGAACGCGGGAAGAGAGCTGGCGGGAACGCGGGAAGAGAGCTGGCGACTCCTTCGATCTCGAAGAAGGCGGGAACACGGGAATCGGAGAGCGAGCGAAGCGGGGGATGTGTCCAAAGAAGACGGAAAAAAGGCGGGGGACGAAGGGAGAGGGAAGGTGGGAAGGGTGTTGGGGGGGCGGGGCGTGGTGTGGACGGCGCGAAGCGGTTGAGCGGGAAGAGGAAACGGAGGAGGAGAAGGGAAAGGGAACGTGAAAAAAGCGATAGAAGTGGTAAGGAGCGTAAGAAGCGGACGAAGACGTTAGCCGCCGTCGGGTAGTGGTGAGGTAGATCCCACAACGGGCGGGAGGGAGAGATCTAATGCGGCGGGAATGCAACGGTAACAATGGCATCCAGAAGATTTAGCTGGCAGCATCTCTCTTCCACATTTTTGTGTCGGCATTATCCAAGACGGCCACCGGGCGATCGGGTCGGTCTCTTGACCTCTTACTCGCCCTCGTCGCCATCGCCGTCTTCATCTCCGTGCTCACCTTCATCGCCGTCCTTGGCTCTGTCTCCATCACCCGTGGCGGCGGGGACGAGCGGCAAGAACGGAAAGCATTGGAGAAGAGAGTGTTGCTTCCCTTCTCGATTCTTGTTTTGCCGGCTATGGAGATCGTCATCGGGATCTGGAACTCCTGGGAACGGGTCATCGAATATCAAGCAAGGCCTGGAGCTTGGCGCGCAGCAGGCGGGATCCAGAGGTGAGTGTGTCAGTAGGAGCAAGACTCCAGGCAGAGTGCCAAACGACGAATTCAAATAACTCAAACGGAGTTAAACGGACTTGAAACGAGTCAAACGGATTTAAACGAACTTAAACTGAGCCAAATGGACGGAAACGGACTCAACGGACTTGGCGAAGTTTCCAAGAACTTGACGCACTCATCTAACTGTAAGGGGGGTCATGTCATGAATGGTCTTCGTGCGTCGTCCGGACCATGGTCTGCTCGGATCGGGACGACGACGACGAAGCCCTGCGTTGTGGCCTTCTTGTGTTCTGGGAGGCATTCCATCTTTTACGCGCTCAAGTAGGTTTTTCTCTACCTTGTTTTTTCTCGCTTTTCCCTTTTTTGAATTTTGTTCTTTCTATTCGTCTTACGTGCGAAAGGCAGAGGTCCCCTGTTCTGGGTCTGACATGAGGACGGAGAACGGGGCATCATACGGTGCGACGGAATTACATCCGCTGCGCCCCTCAACGACTACGTGCCCGACATTCCTGGGGTGCCATAACGATCAAGAGCGAGACTTAACACCGTAGCCGTGTGGTATCTGCCCGTCGCCAAGTTATCCCAAAACGTAAGAGTTGTAATTTTACTAAATGTATGATCTCTGAACTGGACTCACTCGACATACCGACGGGGACACATCCTCGCATGTGCGAGAATTGGAATGTCATGTGAAATGTCTCTCCTCTTTTCTTCTTTCTCTCTCTCTCTCTCCCTCTCTCTCTCTTTCTCTAAGACTCTTAACTATCTATCTTCTCCGGTCTGTCACGCTATATCTGCTCATCTCTCCTGGTCTCTCCTCTCTCTCTCTATGACTCTTTATCTCTCTATGTTCTCCTGTCTGTCGCGCTATATCTGTTCATATCTCCTCCTGTCTTCTTTCTTTCTCTCTCTCTCAGACTCTTTAACTATCCGTCTTCTCCGGTCTGTCGCGCTATATCTGCTCATGCTTGGCAACCTTTCGTGACTGTATTTCTTCCAGAGTAGAAGAGGGCGAAAAGTTTGGACGGGAGGTACCGTCTCGTCCTCCCTCTCTGTGTCTCCTCTTGTACCCTCTTTCCTGCCTGTATATAAATTACCCACCCACTTGCCGTTTCCCCCCTTGTTAGTACTGTTCTCCTGCCAGAAGGAGAGGAGCACGAACAATATGTGAGTGTGAAGTCTTAGAGTGGATGCAACTGTTTCTCTGCACCGTGAGATGAACAGTTTGGATTGTTCCCATCGTGATTGGATTGTTCCCATCACGACTCAATTTGAAAGGATGAACCCGCTTTTCGCCTTCTTTTCTTCTTTTTTCTCTTCTTCTTCTTCTTCTTCTTCTTCAGTTGCTGCTGTCGCCTCTGCTGTTGCTGCTTCTGCTTCTGCTGCTGCCTCTGCTCTTGCTGTTGCTGATGCCACTGCCGCTGCAGCTGCTTCCGTGGGCGGTACGCAGTTCAATGGAGTTTCCTCCTTTCTTGAGGTTTGTGCATGCGGTTCAGTGGAGTAAGCTTGATATTCTTGTGCTGAAAGCAGTCTTGGCCACCGCTTGTCACTATTCTCTCTCTTTTTCTTAAAACCCGTGGCTCCTTCTATTATGGGGAGCGTCAGTCCTCTTCCTGTTTCACCTGCAAGTCAAAAGTACGTCACTATTCTTCTTCTTCAGCTGCTGCTGTTTCCCTGCCACTGACAATTTCGTTGTTGCTTCTGCTGCTGCTGCTGCAACTGCCATTGCTTCTGCCGCAACAGTCAGCGCCGCTCTGTTTGGAGGTAGTGTTCACTTCCACTCCATACATACTGTGGTGGAAGTTTGAGAGAAGGGGAGCGAACAGAGAGGAGGGATATTTGCGAGAATGCTGCTTTGAGGCAGTGTGCATCGCATTCCTCCTTTACAGGCTCTATTTAGATTATACATCAACTTTTTTCTTATATATGGACGTAATTGCGGTCAGATGCATCCAGGTACGACCATAAATGCGGTCAGATGCATATAATATAGCTTTCGTGAGTAAGCCGTTACTCACACTCAGCCCTTGAAATCGCAGAATGGCAAATTCAGCGGCCAGATCGAGTCCTTCTAGATTGTGTTCGCCTTCTAGGAGGCTCGATCCCTGGCCAGAACGAGTCTTTCTAGCTCGTGTCCGCCTTCGACGCGTCTTCCGCCGAACATAACGCATGTGTTGTAAACGAATACGACGCATAGGTTGCTTTCTTATTCGAATTCTACTCACAGGCGTTGTACTCTAACAGCTGGTATTTTCGAATTACAACGCAGAAAACTCGAATATAACGCATATGCGATATCTGCGGGGGAAGAAGGGTAGTGTGAGTATGCGCCCTTTGTCGTGGGCGACAGGGAGGTGGCGGATAGGGAGGTATTGCTCGAGACTGCTGCCCCCCACGTGTGTTGTATATGTCTGGGAGAGAGGCAAGATTCGACCTCATGTCTTTTCACGGGTTCATGGCTGGACTTCTTTTTTTTTTTTTGGAAAAAGAGTTACGCCAGCGAATAATAACCGATGCGTAACCCTGAAGCATTGACTTCCCGTATCCTCTTTTTCTTTGTGACTTCCCTTATCCCTGCGCAAGAGACAATGGGCAATGGATGGTGCGCCTTCTTACTGCTAGTCGATCTGCGTTCGTTGATGGTTATACAGTGTAAGCAACTGGAGAGATCCCGTCCCTGGCCCCACCACCCTTTCCCCCCGCCCTGCCTCATTCCTCCCTTTTCTTGCGTACTCCCTTCTACTTCCCCTTCGCGTCTCCTCCCCCCCGCGCCCCCCCCCCGCGCCCACCCCCCTGCGCGCGCCCCACTTTCCGCAGCCTCTAACTTAAACGCCACGTATATCCTGAGATCGCGGACCGAATTCTTTTGTTTTTTAAAGCGTTAACATATGCACTTCTCGGAATGATGTGCGGTAGCTTTTTTTTGTGTTGCAGTAACTGTTTAGTAGAATGGACATATACAAATTCATTTTTTCTTCGTTTTCTTTCTGTTTTTTTCGCTTTTGCGCTCTGATATTTTTGTGACAATATATATGTCGTGACAATATATATATATATATATATTATATCCTCGTTAAAAGATAAATCAATGGATTTTCTCATGTTTGCCCTGACTTTGAAAAGGTGGGTGCGAGGCGGGGTTGGGCGGGGAACGATTTCTGATGCATTTACGATCTCCCCCTTTTTCTTTCGTCTGCTTCCACTTTTTGGAGTCAACCCGCCTTAAGTTCGCCCTGAAATTGAGGGCGCGCCGTGGGAAAAACAAAAAAAGTATCGCGGGTGCACACTCCTGAGTGATGGCTCCTGCGTTGCCCTGACTTTGTCAAAGGTGGGGGCGAGGCGGGGTGGGGCGGGTTTTGATTTCTGATGCATTACGATTCCCCTCTCCCCCGCCGGCCCCCCCCCGCCCTTTCGTGTGCTTCCACTTAAGTTCGCCCTGAAATTGAGGGCGCGCTGTTGAAAAAAATTAAATTGCATTGCGGGCGCACACTCCTGAGGGATGGCTTCTGCTTATTGACGAGACATAATTTGATCTCCCTCGACGTCGATTATGATTTGTTTTTTTAATTTGCGGAGTCTTTTATCAGCTAATTATAAATTTCTAGACATTTATCGCCCTCTGAGATGTACGTTGGTTTTAGCGGTACCTGTTTGGAATCGCGGCCAGGTTCCGTTTTATTCTTCTGTTTTCGATTTTTTGGGGTTGAAAAATAGATTTAATATGATGCGCTTTTTTTTCCCATTTTGCGTGGTTGGCAGGTAGGAAGGTTTCCTCCTACGCTTGCGGTGTCGCTCTCGCCCGTCGCCTGCCGTTGTCGCTCCTCCGTGTCGTCTCCTTCAGTTTGTTTCTTCTTCCTACCCTGTTCACCTGAATACAACACCAGGTCATTATGGCTGAATTTGGGGCAACTGTTGGTCCAGATACTGCGATAATGACCGGGCGTTGTATTCGGGTGAAGACGGTAGCTTCCCGCACTTGTTTCCCACGCTCTGTTGTTTTTTTCTTCAAATTTACTCTCTGACCATTTTCTGTCATTTCCTCCTGTCTCGGCCATGGATATTTTTATTTACTTACTTTTTCGTCTCCTCCTTAGATCTGATCATCCCGTCTTCGCGCACTGCTCCTTTCCATGTTCCAACTCGTTCTTTCTTCTGTTCCATCTTCTTCCTCCTCTCGTCTCTCTCTCTTTCTCTCTCTTTCAGTCATATTGCGCATTTTGTGTCATCTCCAGCGCGGATCTCATCATCCCTTCTTCGCCTATGCACTTCTTTCCGTCTCCTCCTCAGATCTGATCATCCCGTCTTCGCGCTATGCTCCTTTCCGTGTTCCCTCTCGTTCTTTCTTCTGCTCCATCTCCTTCCTCCTTTCGTGTCTCTCTCTCGCTTCCGATCATATTGCGCATTTGTGCCATCTCTCGTCCGCGTCTTCCTCGCGAGGAAGACGCGCGGATCTCATCATTCCTTCTTCGGTGTGCCCGTTTCTTACTGTTATTATTTTATTATTATTAATCATATTAATTATCATTGTTATTATTATTATAATAATTAAATAGGAGTATGAATTGATAGGCGTCGATTTACGTTCGTTAAGTTACTCTGATTTTGACTCAAGGTTACAGGATTCGAACCTATGACGCTCTATACCCAAAACAGATGCGCTTCCTGATTGCGCTTTTTCTGTTCGACTAGTAATTAATCGCTTTAGCTGCGCCACTAACTAACATTTTTCGTTTGTTTGTTTTTTATATGAAGGGCGACTGCCTTGAGATATGAACACCGAACTGGCTGGTCCTAGGTAATTTGGGATTGTAGTAGTTTTTACTCATTTGCTTCCATTGTCTGGATTCGAACTCATGTCTGTATTTCAACAGTCGAGGGGTGTACACAACTGAGCTAGGCCAGTTGGTACCACTGACTGACATTGGATCGACTGGAACTGGTAAACTCATTGCTGTAGGTTCAAATCCTAAATTCCAGAAATTAAGCAATAATAAAGA